AAAATAGGTTTTGGTTTACTGAATACTTAATGTATGACCTCAATGATGATGAAGGAATGACCCCTTGGGCACTGGTCCTATGGATGTACAATCTCCACAGGCTGTCCAGTAAGAACAGAAAATATGTTGACTGGTCAATGAATCCAGTTCACACACTCATTGACATCCCACTCATTTATTGTTAGTGGTTTAGAATATCCAGTGGTGTAGTTGTAGTTGGTGAGATTGCTGTACTACTATGTAGATAGGGAGGTTACTGAGGAGGAAATGGGTAAACTTTTCTATTTATTCCAATGGCTTTTCTGCTAACTGTTAACAGTCAGAAAAAGAGATGGTTATACCAGGTATACCTTCCAATACACCACTGGGCATATCCTTGTGTGAATTTGGTTTATTCTAATGGATGCACAGGATTGTAAACCAGGTGAATGAACAAATGTTAAATATAGTTCAGGAAACTGCAGCAGTGAGTGAAGTCTTTTTCAGTTTGGGACAGGTGCCCTGTTCAGTTGATGGAAAGATGCTGTGCACAGACTTATGATTAGTGCAGAAGGTGGATTGAATCTTGAGTGCTGTCTCTTTATGTGAATTCCATATGCATTCTGTACACAAAAGCTACATATTATAGGACTGTGCATGTGAACAATGAGTAGTATAAACAGAGGGATGCCTGTACTGAAAACTGGTGAAGATGCATGACCTTCTGACATTCCCCCAGTTTGGTGGAGAAAAGTTGAACCAGTTGAGCCAGGAGTGTCTTGTGGAAATGCTGGGATTCTGATGAGCCGAGCAACCAGTCATGCGTATGACTAATCTTTGACTTGGATTTGACAAGACCGTACTCTGCCATCAGCACTAAGAATGACTGCCATAACCTTTCTGACTGGGCACAGGTTATAAGGAGCTGCTGGTCAATGACAAGGATTTAGGGGCCAAGAATTAGATCATCCCTTTCCTGTTGCCACTTGGAGCAGGTCTGGATGGATGGCAGATAGTTCCTGATGAAGTGGATTCAGAATTAATCTGCCAAGGCTTGGCTATGTCTTTGAAGTAATGCTGAATGTTGTCTCAGAAGGGGCAATATTTATTTGGCCTCTGTGGATTGTTTATCTGGAACCCTACTTGTGTAGACCGTTCTGGTACCTTTGCAGGGAGGATCATATCTGAGCAGGGTGGTTCTGGAGCATGCTGCAGACTTCTGCTTGATCTTGATGCCTTTCTAACGGTTCGTTGTCCCTCCGGTGATGATCCGGACCAGGTTCTGTACATAATCATCTTGAAATATGGACTTCGTACTCCAGCCACTCAGAAATGTCAAGCAAAGTCAGAATGGGTGTGCAAATGGGAGTGATGAAGCGCTTGCATTGTGGTCTCAGGTCATGTGGCTGGTTTGACAAAAGCGTGAGATTCACGACGCACACTCCAGTTCTCTCTTCCTTCCCCAGCTGGTCCAGCATCCCAACTTGAGCATTCTCCATCAGTGCAAACAGGTAGAAACCTCTGCTGTCAACACTCATGACACCAGACTAAGCCAGGACCTCAGTGATACATTGCAGGGCCAATTTGTAAGGCTCACTGTACATCTCTATATAAAAGGCCAAGGTGCAGAAGGGGAAAACCGGTGGCAGTGGGGGATGGAATTGTTCAACAACTTGTTGGAGATCATCTATCCTTTGGTTGACTGAAGGGCTGTCTGGTTGGTTGCAGCAGGGGGCATACAAAGTCTGGAGCCAAGGCCTTTGTGAAGGATGTCCTGCTGTCCTCAAACTGAATGAAGTATGAGAAAGGAGGTTGAGAATGCCTAGAGAGATTGCATTTCTTGCCTGAGCTGGTTGTAGTAGTCCCTCATTTCTCTCAGTGCTGACAAGGTTCTGGTGTGTCTGTCCATCAGGAGTACCTGTAGGTGCATTGTGTTACTTGCTATCTCCTGCGACGGAGTGGTCCTGGAGTATGTGTGACTCAACAGGAAGTTGTCGACAAACACAGCAGTGAGGTTGGATGTTGCCAACAGGGTCACTGCAAGTCCAGCTTGAAGGACCATATGAAAAAGGTGTTTGTTTACAGAATACCAATCGTATGACCTCAGTGGTGATGAATGAAAACACTTCTCATAGAGAGTGTGTCTTGATGTCTTTGCTGTAGATGGTGAGTCCTCCAACAGTAGCTGCAGTTATCGGGATCTTTTAAAACACTTGAACCTCACCAAAAATGAGTTGCACACCATGACCCTGCCTGTTAGAGACCATACGTCCACCATGCATATATAACTGGCTGTACTTCTCTATGCCATTCTAGATGTGGTAAGTGGTTGCTTATAATTATATTTACAGTTATTATTTATTTTGTTGTACATGTTGCATTGGCTCCATTTTTTGTGTTTGTCTGTAAAGTAACAGGATATCACAAAGTCGCATTCTGTCTACTGGATATTTGGGCTATATGCTCAGGAGCTAGGGTTAAATTGTCTGTGTTTACAGCACCAGCATGTGGCCATTTATGAAATGCTATAATTTTGCCCCATTTTAAAGTCATTTCTATCAGTGCAATGCAAAGATGCTTTGTGGGAATACAGAAAATCCACATGCAAATTCTTAGTATGACGACTATGCCAACTTGATGCCATCTCTTCTCATCATATTTTGACGCTCAAGAGAAGCCCCACAAGTTGCCTTTTGCACTGTATCTTGACCTAGGGGGTCAGTGGTTAGGTTAGGTTAGGTTTAGACAAAAACACTACTTGGTTAGGTTTAGGAAAACATTGTGGTTAGTCATGACAATCGAACAATTTGCATGACAAACAACTGGCAAATGAGTGACTAACGATTCATAGACAAAAAATTCAACGTTAGCATTTAGTTTTATACGGGACACAAACATCAGAATCCTGGGTCAAAGACCTGTGATTAGGCCCGTTTCCACTGAAGAAGTTCCTGGTACTATTTGGGGGGCATGAACTACTACAGGAACGTCCTCTTGCCCGGCCCTCTCAACCGCCATGAGAGGGCTGAGTAGGAGGAAGGTTCCTGTAAAGTTAGCGGGCTCTGGATGTGACGCAATCACTGCGCGACCATTTTGACCGGGGCGACGTAGTGGCGTAGGGACGTAGTTAGCTGTTAGCTGTTAGCGGTGTCTGTATTAACTCAATAAACGGTCCGTGAAAAAAAAAAAAATTTTCCAGTGAATGTCTTAGTTACAACATGACGGACCGTATATTGAGTTACTGAGTTATAACAGACACCGCTAACGGCCAAGTAATCCCCAAGCCCCAGTCAGTCTCGGGGCCATTCTGAATACCTACTCCGAGGCAGGGACTTGTTTATCCCCTGTAAAAGTTCCGGAACTCTGTCCTTCGGGGGTGGTTCCTGCGGTGGAGACACGCACCAACGGCCCCGGCCCTGTAAAATTACCCCGAAGTTCCTGCGGTGGAAACGGGCCTATTGTTGGACCCAGCCACCTCCCTTCCCACCCCTTGTTTATATTTATCACAATATGCCAGTATTTGAGTACCTTAACTGTTATTGCCAATTAGCCACCTAAAGTTAAATCATAATTAAAGGCATACTGTATCAGATACTGACACGCAATGCCCCCTTTAATGTCTGTATAAAACAGGGCTGTCCACAAACTCCAACGTAAACCCATCCATATCATTATTAGACAGTCAGAGCAATGACGTACAGTATATGCGAGTGTGGTCATATATAAATAGTGACTAACACTCTATAGCAATAGTTATTACTTCGGCACAGTCTGAATGCTGTGGGGCGAAGAACTCGCCCTCCAGTCTGTTTTTGTCTCGTTTTGCCAATCATCACATTCAGAAGATGCAATTTAAGAGAGCTTAATAGGCTGTACCTGCTGCAGTTGTGGAAGCAGTGGGCTATTTTTTTTAAGTAAAGCCACTAGAGGGTCTAAAAAGTGTCAAGTCTAGTGAAGAAGTCGGCAAGTTGGCAACACTGAGCACCACTGAAAAGGACAGGGGTGAGCTGGATTTACAACCCAAACTCCAAAAAATTGTGACGCTGTGTAAAACTTTAATAAAAACAGAATGCAATGATTTGTGAATCTTTTTTGGCCAATATTCAGTTGAATACAATACAGAGAAATGATATTTCATCTTTAAGCAGATAAATTTTGTTTGTTTTTTATGTAAAATATACACTCCTGAATCTGATGCCTGCAACATGTTCCAAAAAAGTTGGGACAGGGGCAACAAAGGGTGGGAAAGTTGTGAAATGCTAAAAAAAAACACCAGTTTGAAACATTTCACAGGTAAACAAGTTAATAGGTAACAGATTAAAGTATCATGACTGGGTATGAAAGGAGCACCCAGTTGTCCACAAGCAAGGATTGTAACTTTGTGGAAGACTGTGGGCAAACAGCCCAGCAGTTTAAGAGCAACATGTCTCAACCCACAGTTGCAAGGACTTTGGAGATTTCACCATCTACAATTCATCATATCATCACAAGATTCAGAAAATTTGGAGAAATCGCTGTATGTAAGGGATAAGGCTGAAATCAAATCATTGTATTGCTGTGACCTTTGACCTCCAGGCAGTACTGCATTAAAAACCAACATGACTGTACATTACTGGATACTGGATATTACTACATGGGTTCAGGAGAACTTTGGAAAAACCATACCATACCACTTTGGTAAACACAGTCAGTTGCTGCATCTACAAATGCAAGTTAAGACTCTAAGTGAAAGCCATATTTTATCATCCAGAAACACCATTGACTTTTCTGGACCCAAGCTCATCTGACATGGTGGAAACATGTGTTGTGGTCTGACAAGTCCACATTGCAAATTATTTTTGTAAAAGGACCATCTAGATTGTTATTAGTGTAAAGTTTAAAAGCCAGCATCTTTTATGATATGGGGGGTGTTAGTGCCAATGGTGTGGGAAACTTGCACATCTGTGAAGACAACATCAGTGCTGAAAGGAACATACAGGTTTTGGAGTAACATGCTGCCATCCACAACGTCTTTTTCAGAGATGTCCCTGTTTATTCCAGTAAGACAATGCCAAGCCACACTCTGCATGGATTACAACAGTGTGACTTCATAGTAAAAGAGTGCAGGTACAAGATTGGCCTACCTGCAGTCCAGACCTGTCTCCCATCGAAAATGTGTGGCACATGATGAAGCACAAAATGCAGCATTGAACCTCCTGGATTGTTGTAGAACTAACATTGCATGTCAAACAAGACTGGGAAAGAATTTTACTTATAAAATTGCAACAGTTTGTGTCCTCAGTTCTTGGATGCTTACCAAGTGTTGTTAAAAGAAAAGGTGATTTAACACTATGCTAAATATGTCCATGTCCCAACTTTTTTGAAACATATTGCAGGCATCGAATTCAGAATGACTGTATATTTGCAAAAACAATTAAGTTTATCAGTTTGAACATTAAATATATTGTGTTTGTACTTTATGCAGTTGAATACGTGTCAAAACTGATTTACAAATCATTTCATTCTATTTTTATTTAAGTTTTACAGCATCCTAACTTTTTACGGTATTGTTTAATACAAGACGAAATGAGGGCATCATTGAGAAACAGAGTGCGGGACAATAATTATTTTATTATTATTTTATTTATATTTTGTTTGTCCCATTGGTGTTGCAAATACCAGTTCACTTTACAGTCATTCATTTGATAAGTGCCACCACGAGGAGTCATGGAGAACTGACTCAGGCAGTCAAATTGACAGGAGATTCTGTTTAGATCACCTGCACATTTTAATAAAAATATGTTCAAAACCGTGACATATGAAGTCTGTTTGCAAACTTGTTGCACCTTGAATTAACACTGAATTTGAAAAGTTTCATGATAGGTGATAGATGTCCTGCTTGGAAGATTTTCACACACATTTCTTTGCTCATAGAAAGAGAAGGACCAGAAGTTTGTTTCGTACATCTGCACTTTTACAGTGAGTTCTCTCTGAGGATGAATGCTCTTTTTGATTGAATTCATTCCCACCTGTCACTCTGTTGGTAAACTCATATTTCTTTTGTTCAAATGTATTTTCTCCCTTGTTATTCCTTTATAGTTTTGGAAAGATGAATACATTCGCTGGGATCCTAAGGACTTCTGTGGCATTGAGATGATGTATATTTCCTCTCAGCTAGTTTGGAAGCCAGATTTAATTGTCCAAGAGATGTAAGTTTGAATGTATGCACACTTTCATATCCAAATACTCTCACCACAGTAACATCACAGTGTTTAAAAAGTACAGTACACTCAGAAAGTATTCAGACCCCTTCACTTTATCCGACATTTTGTTATACTGCAGCTTTATGCAACATTGTTTAAACACTTTTTCCCCTAGTAATCAGTTTACACTCAGAAATCAGTTGGCAAGAAGGAACATAGCAGAAAAAGCTAACGCTACTGTAGCTTAACATTGCCTAAGCCTCTGTACTTTCTTCCTTGTTTGTTGCCAGTCCTCAGTACTATCTAACGTTAGCGTTTACATTATATTATAAAACTCATCAGTCATCCCTGACCCCGGATAAGTTTAAAAACTCCGGGGTTGTGTTTGACTGTGCAGGACAGGTAACGTTATGTTTAGTTTGCTTCTAATGTAACATATAACGTTATATATGACAACACAGCATCCAGTTGCTAATAGCTAATGTTAGCCTACTGTAGCGTAGCCTCTGAAACATTAACGTTATCTTCCTTGTGCATTTCCACTTACTACTAACGTTAACGCTACTATCTAACATTAGCACTGTAACCTTATTCTAAAAGTCATCAGTCATCACTGACTCCAGTTTTAAAACTCCGGGGTTGCGTTTCACTGTCTTGGTTGTAACGTTACACTCGCTCTCCTATTCCATAACGTTACCTTGCCCACGCGTACGTCTATCATAAACGTAATGAGGCCTCAATGGAGGAGGGGGGAGTGGGCCTTTGGAGGGAGGTGGAGTTGCAGGAGTAGGGGTATGGGACTTTGGAGGGAGGCGGGAGTTGTGCTTTGTGAAATGCAAGAAAGGTAAGAGTAACTTTAAGTATTCAGACCCTTTTGTACACCTACTGAAATTTAGCTCACGTGCTTACCATTTGATCATCAAACATCCAGTGTTTGTTAACACTTCATGATTAAACAACCAACAAATTACAGCAATCGTTCATACAAGGTATCACAGCATGTCATCCCTCGAGTTTGTAGTTCGATCCTCACCTTGCTTGAGCAAGTCACTAAACCTCAAATTACTCCCGATGCCTTGCATGGTAGCTTGCTGACATCGCTCTGTGAGTGGGTGAATGAGTAGCATTATATGAATGTAGGATCAAATGTAAGGGTGCTTTCACACGTGCCCTGTTTGGATTGGTTCAATCGAACTCAAGTTCATTTGCCCCCTAAGTGCAGATTGTTTGGGCAGGTGTGAACACAGCAATCACACTCAGGTGTGCACCAAAACAACCAGACCGAGACCTTCTTGAAGAGGTGGTCTTGGTCCAGTTACAACGAACTGTAGTGCAGTTCGTTTGTGGTGAGAACGTGTTGCGACCTGGATCTGAACCAACTGCAGTCACATGACAAATTGTTTGGGTTAAACATGAGCATGTTACAGTCCTGGAGGATTATTAATGTGCACCTCCTCCTGTACTGCCTTAATATGCACATTCAGCACATCCAATGCATCAAAACATTGTTTTCTAGTTGGAGCCGCGCCTCGTTTTCAAACTGTATGGTTTGACTAAAATGAACAATGACAGCAATATAGTCCACGATGAGCAGCGCTAAAATCAACCTGCGTAGTTGTCCCTCCATTGTGACATTAGAAAGTGTCACATTTATCTTGCAAGTGTACTCTTCTTCAACGTTTGGTTTACTTCCTGGATTTTTCCCGCATTGAAATTCTGACCAATCAAGAGCAGCTTTCTCACACAAGGCATTTGATCTGGTCCTCTTGTAAATGCTGCCGTGAGAACATGAATCAACTCTAGGCAATTATACAACTTTGAAACAAAATTAGTCCCTGATTCAGACCAAAGCAAGACAACTCTAGGTCTGAGAGCACCCTAAGACAATCTGACAATGAAAAAAACTCATGTTAAAGATAAAGGCAAGGCAAGGCAAGTTTATTTGTATAGCACAATTCAACACAAGGTAATTCAAAGTGCTTTACAGAGACATTAAAAGCAACAAGACACAATTTAAAACAATAAAAACAGTCGATTAAAAAGGGAAATAGAAATTGAGAATGATAGTGATAATAATAAAATACAGTAACATAAAATAAAAACAGGCTCAATACATTGAACAGTCAGGATAAGAAAAGAAGTAGAATAATAAAAGGCATAAATCAGCAGTGTGTAGTTAAAAAGTATGGGCAGTAGAATACAGCAGGTAAGTATTTAATCTAAGAATACACTTCAGTAAACAATAATGTTTTTAGCCCTGATTTAAAGGAGCTGACAGTTTGAGCAGACCTCAGATCTACAGGAAGTTTGTTCCACAGGTGAGGAACATAATAACTGAATGCTGCCTCACCTTGCTTGGTTCTTGTTAACAAGAGCAGCTTCAATGCAGCATCTGGTGTCACAAACTGCCTCACAAGTAGGGAGTCCACATAAAAGATTTTGTTTAAACAAACACAATTTATTAATTTAACATTAACTTGAATCACCAGTTAAGTTTGTTATGGAGAGGAAAAGACCTCTGTAGTTTGATAGTAGATAGTTCGGGTTCCAGTTAAAACTTTCTGAGCATTTGAATTTTTACAGTGTGCAATTCTCACCACTAGATGCCACTAAATCCCCCTTAATCTTACACACTGCTCTTTCAATGCCAAATTCTGTACTTAGAATTTATCTGGAGGACTTTATACAAACATCAAAACAGGCTAAACTTCTGGACTTTGGACCAAGCAGAAAGACTTTGTTCAGCCATTGGAAACATACATGAGCAAAATGAAAGCTGGACTTGTAGGCCTTATCTGAAAAGAAATTGCAAAAAAATGTTGGGAAATATTTCAATTCATTTTGTATTCTATGTGTCAGCCCTGCGATAGTCTGGCGATATGTCCAGGGTCCAGTATTGGTAAGAGCAGTAGTATCATTAAATAATGATACCCATCCCTATTGTTCAGTCCTTCATCTCTACTTTAAGCAAATACGGACATTGATTTAATGTATTCTATCTGAGATCTGTTCAGGTGGAGTGTGTGAGTGTATGTAGGTGTGTATGTCTGTGTATTGTACATATTTCTGATTTCAAACTGCTGATTTGTTTCTGTATGTTTCTTTGATGTGATGTTATAACCAAAGGAAATGACAATAAACATTGGAGGGAAAAAATATATGTAGCAAAGTACATTGATAACATTATGTGAAATTTAGTTTAAAGCATACATGTTTGTGCTCATACAGGACAGATCAGGGCAAGGCCCCTCCAAGTCCTTATCTTATCCTTTGGAATAACAGTGAAGTCTTCTTTAAGAAGTACATGGTGGTGGTCAGCACCTGCAGGATGCACGTGTACAAATTTCCCTTTGACATTCAGAGCTGCAACCTCACTTTCAAGTCTGCTATACATTTCGGTGAGCTCATCAACTGTTGTGTTTAAAAGTTTCACAAGTTCCTGTGTTGTTATTTATGTATTCTCGTGTCTGTTTGAGTTTGAATCCATGTGTATGCTTTAATGACTTTTACATTTTATTGTCACCTGAGGACACATACCATGTATTTCTTAATCTATAAATGTGCAAGGAAACCCAACAGTTTCATTTCTATCTCCCACTTCAGACAAGGCAATACAGTTTGATATCATCCTTAACTCCTCAACGACCACAGAGTGGTCTCAGGAGTTGATTCAGACCCAGTCTGAGTGGTTGTTCATCAGCATGACCGTCAACAACATCACTGTCCATAACCAAAGCAATGTCATTTACACTGTAAGTATATCTGGATACAAACTCACAGAGGTGGAAAATGAACACTCTATGTTACACCTCTGTGTTTCTCAAGTAAGTACAGGTAGGGCACATTACTAAAGTATTTCTAATTTTGGAGTCTTGTGAGCCTTCTGTATCTGCATATAGCCTCCACTTCACCACTGCATCTGACCCTTGAACAACATTTCATAGATCTCCATGAAGAGGCGGTCTCTCCTCTACATCGTCAACTTCTTACTGCCCATCCTGTTCTTCATGTGTCTGGACTTGGCCTCCTTCCTGGTCTCGGACAGCGGGGGCGAGAAGCTCAGCTTCAAGGTCACTGTGCTGCTTGCTGTCACTGTGATGCAGCTTATTCTCAATGACATTCTGCCTGCCTCTTCAGACAGGACTCCACTTATAGGTAAAGAAGACTAAGAATCTTGCCTATTGATAAACTGTACTTCATATGAGCAGGAACAGCACATATCAAATCAGTGTATGGTTATTTGTCTACATTACCGATGCTGCTTGCCCCTCTCAGCTATTTACTGCATTGGGATGTTTGGTTTGATGCTGCTGAGCCTCCTGGAGACGATTGTGGTGATGTATCTGATGGAGAAAGACTCTGAATCCCAAGACAACGACGCAGATAGAGACCAAAGCCTGAGTAAGGACTGTGGAGACAAAGAGAGCAAAGTCAGCTTCCACAGCTGTTTTAGAGGTGAGATTCACTAAGTTTGTAAATGTATTTATGTTCTCAAAAGACAAAGTCAGTTAATCCACATGTCCACCTTTAGGTACTTTCATTCTCTGAAACAGGTACATGTAAAACTTGGAACACAAAATGGTCAGCTGTGTTACTTTGAATATGTACTAATCATGCTGTGTGTCTAATCCATCTTTCCAGAGGTTAAGAAATTACACTGTGCGTGTATCTGTGATGTGTCTCCTGGTGAAGCACCATCTGAACGNTTTCCATGCCAGACTGTGATTGAGCTGTACATCTTTAAAATTTACTGAGGATATTGGTGGGTACGCCAAATTTCCCCAGCTTTCTGAAGAAGTACAGTTGCTGCTGGGATTTCTTGATGATCTACTGTGTGTTGTGAGACCAGGTGAGATCCTTGCTGATGTGGTTGCCGAGAAATTTAAAGGTTTTCACCCTCTCTACCTCTGTCTCACCGATGTGTAATGGCATGTGGTCCCTTCTCCTCCTCCTAGGATCAATAATCATCTCCTTGGTCTTGTCTGTATTTAGGGAGAGATTATTATCCTGACACCAGGCCACCAGTTCTGCCTCCTGTCTTCTGTATGATGTCTCTTCCCCACCAGTGATCAGCCCAATGACTGTAGTGTCATCTGTGAATTTTATAATGCTGGTGTTGGTCTGGGAGGCCACACAATCATGCATGAAGAGCGTGTACAGCAGGGGGCTCAGCACACAGCCCTGGGGGGTCCCTGTGCTTATAGTTCACATTCCTGATCGGCGGTTTCCAACTCTGACTGACTGAGGTCTGTCCGATAGGAAATTTAGCACCCAGGCACAGAGGGAGGGTATCAGTCCGAGGGTGAGGAGCTTCTCAGAGATTACTTCAATTACTTGACACTTGAAGAAGTTAAACTATGACAAAGCTACTCGAGGGAGAAATCTAGTTTGGTTAACTAAAACCTACTTAGAAAGAGTAGTAGAAAGAGTAGTTCAAACTACTTTGTAAAAACAAATTATCAAATAGACAATGTAATGGGTGGCTAGATCACAACTGATACAATAATGTAAAAGTCAAATGTTGCACTTGCATTAGCATAATCATGTTATTTAACCCAAGTTAATTAAACTATTTTTAGGGCAGCAGCAGCCAACTGACGGAGAAGTGCTGTGAATCTGAAAAGCTCTCGGATGAGCTGGTGGAGGCGATGAAAACTCTGAGTCTGCTCCTCAGCAGCAGGAAGGAAGAAAAGAAAACGGGCTACTGGACCAGAATGACTAAAACAATCAACAAAGTTTTCTTCATTTTCTACATCATAGCTGCCTCTGTGTTTTTAGTCTGCATGTTTATCATGTGGAGTACTCCAGAAAAGAATAGTGCCTATAATTCTGAAAACTGTCATGACTGTCATGCTGCAGGTCGACCAACTCTGGTGTAACTAACTTGAGTCACTGACCACACACTTTACTCTCACTCTCCTGGCCTATATACCTAATCCTAACAGTGGTTTTCTTTTACATCATGTTCTGCTGCTTTAAAGCTGATGATTGAAGGTGTACTTGGCTGTTCAGGTAGTATTTAATCTATCAGTGGTATCTACACACATTTGCTGTTTGCTTGTTAGGCACAGTGGTTCACATCAAACACACATGTTGTCTTGTAATATTCTGGTCAACTAAAATGCCATCAAGTGTTAGACTCATGTCTTTGCTTTGGATAAATAAGCACACTCCACCAATACACATATTAAAGAAGAATGATATATGGAGGTGTTAACAAAATAGCATGCAATCCTACATAAATATAACAGACAATGTTTATAATTACCTTAAAACATAATATGTAAAAAGAAAAAAGAAAAAATCAGATATGTATACTATGACACATGCAGTAAAGGTGCACAAAAATTCATGTCATACATGTTTTCACAGGTTTGTTTTGTTGCCACAGGAACTTTATCTAACCTCTATTAACTGACATTGCCAATGCAACATGGCTTAAATAAGAATGATCAAAATCACTGCAGCACATGCTGACATATCCTGACTGTTCATCCCTAGGCTCAAACATTTAAAAACAATATAGTGCTGTATGGCACCTCAAGTGGTTCTATACAGCACTATTCAACAAAGATGGGTGACATATAGCACCAAAACAGGTTCCCCTGTGATTACAAGTCAAAGAACCGCTTTTGCTCACTGTTCAGCACTATTTTTGCCCCACAAACATTTTTTTGTGGACAGTTTGGAGAGGTGTGGACTTGGGTGAGACTCAAGTCACAAATTTGATGACTTAAGACATTGATGTTCAAGTCCAAGTCTAGTCGCAATGCTTTTTTGATTTTCTCATGTAAAGTCTAGTGACTTCATTTGGACTTGAGCCTTTTGACTTGAAAATACTTGAAACCTTCCCCCAAGGCAGTTTGGGAAGAAAAAGTTTTGGATATTTGGACATGAGATGAGTTAAATACAACAAGACAAATCAGAAACGTACTAACTGTATTCAGCTGTGGTACTGGTTGATTTTGCTAGATGCTAATGTGTAAACCGAGGCCTGTACTACGAAGCCAGTCCAACCTGCCCAGGATATCTTTTCACTATCTGCTTTGACTAACATTAACATTGGTACTACAGGTACTACGAAGCTGGTTATCAGCTAGTTCAGTCAACTCTGGGTTTTCCTATCCAGCCAAGAGCGCATTCATGTGAAAGAGGCGGGAGTGTTAATTATGAGCGACATCATCAGAACCACGAATGAAGGAGGCTGCTTCATATGATATGTTATGAAACAATAGTGAAAGTGTCTGTGACTACGAGACAGTAAAGCGTGGGGTGTAAACGATACTCTGTGATCTTAAAACAGAACATCTAGAAACACTGAAAACACTGTCCAAAAATTCACCATCATCCGAGACTTAAATGACGCCCAGGTGTCACTGAGCTATGGGCCTATGTGACATTAGTATAGAGTATTTTTTGCTGTTTGGTTGGATGAGGATAAAACTCCTCTGAGTATGTCCCATAAAACACTTTAAAGGAACACCAGACTGTTTCTGCTGCTGAAGTAAAGAGTGGAAAGGTAGTTAATGACTGCTGAGGTCTGTCTGACCCTAATGTTTCATTTATAACAACAGGAGCCAATTAACAGTGTGTGGATTACTTTACTAATAAAATATTATCTGTTTTATCCTAGTTCTCATCACACTGTGTCTCTGATCTGATACTGAACTTAACCTGTTAGCTGTTCAGTAGAAGTTGCCACGGTGATTTATCCTGGCAAAAAGAGAACCAGCTTCGTAGCACTGAAAACCCAGAGTTAACCCTGAAGTAACCTCACTAACTCCAAATCCTTCTTTGTAGTACAGGCCTCTGGTCCAGTGTCCCTTTACAATTTGAAACACATCTATCATCATATTAAGTTATGAAATGTGTTTTTCTTTAAGGGTTCGGTATAATCATGTCTTTCTGTGGTGTTCTTTCACATCTCTTCTCTGCTTTATGCTTTCTATACTGACTCTGAAGAGATAGATCAAGCACTTTGTAACCAAAAATAATAAACAATAAAAACAAAACCTCTTCTCTCTGTTTATTATTCTGTCTGACACTGGGACAGTGAGAGTGAACCAAACCAGTAGAGTTACCGAGCGGCAAACAAATACAGCAGGTCTTTGAGTGGCCACTTGAGGCCGGCTCTGGAAATGAGTCAGAGTCCTCCTTTTTAAAATGCCCAACGTAACAGCAGAAATAAACATGTTTACAGCCTGGAACAAAAAATAATTATTTTGGTCTCTATAGCTAGTTTCCCTTTTCAAGACAAGCTGTACAGGGGTGAATTTTTATATAACTTACTCGGCCTTAATTTAGTCTTATTGAAGGGCGAGGCTGGTTTGAGTGACAGGCTGTCTGTGAGGAGTCGGTACAGTCTATAGCCTCTTTTACACTGCCAGATTTTCCTTCGAATGTTGGGCCATTTTGCCGGCAAGCCGCGAGCGTTTATTCACACAGAGCCGGATTGGCGAGTTGATCCGAGGTGCCCAATTTCCTGCCTCGTAGGGTAGTCATATTGGTGGAACCCTTTTAGTTTAAACAGACCGAGGCGCCCTTCCGCAGTGGGACGGGCTGTTGAAGACTTGTGAGAGGAGCTGTTGATGATGCCGCATGTGCGAGCCACTGGCGGTGGAAACAGGAAACAGCTGATAGCAGGAATTAGTGAGCAGCTTGTAGCAAGAGGGAAACACAAACCTGACAGACACTGCAAAGATGAGCAACTGGGGAGACAAGGAATTGCGCACTCTCCTTGTCCTCGCAAATGTAGAGGCCATTAACCGTCAGATGATGGGGACGGTGAAGGACGGGCCAACTTATGAGAATTGCTGAAGGACTGACCAGCCGCGGCTTCCCTCTCACGTCACTGTTTACGTCACACTCTGAGCTACACTTTTTGTTACTTGCTCACACCCCCCATTGCCCCGAAAAAGGCGCATTCTGTAAACAAAAGTTGGTAGGCGGCATTTTGTTGCACTTCCCGATTTTGTTTTTATACTGCCAATGCTGAACAATGACTGATTGGGCTTTCCTGCAAATCTGCACAACTCCTATCTAAAAAGGGCTTATGAGTCAGATCCAGCCCTCGCTCCTGCATAGCTCCACCCACTCGTCCAAATATGAACACTTCCTGCTCAAAAAAAACAAGGTGGCGACGGTTGTAATACCAAGCTTGAGGCTTCAAAACAGGAGTCCACAAACCAGTGGGTGACGTCACTGCAGCTACGTCCATTCTTTTATACAGTCTATGACAGTTACAGGCCATACAACTAAAACAACAAGCTAAAAGACACTAAAGTGGTCCTCAGAGCTGAGCAGATGATTCTCTGTGGGTTCATCACTACGAGTGATCACTTTACATAAACAGTCATGAGATTCAATACTATGAATTATTAATGATTAATAAGCGATTAAAACAGTTTAACAATATTGATTAGAGATGCTTTGTAAAATTGCTTTGCAGATGATCCAGAGTGCTCTCATCTCTTCTGTGGTTTCAGAGTGTTCAAGTATGGAGCCTCCAGGCTGATTATCCTTAAAGGCGTTCATGGAGTCCTACTTGGCTTTACAAGATAGAGAGAGAAGTTTAAACTCTACCTTACTTTAACACCTACACACACAGGTAGTTTTTACTTTAAGTGGTCATGGTTGTTGAATTGTCTGATTTAAAACTGCAGACCAAAAGATAATCAAACAAAAGATCCAACAAACTATGCTTTCCAATGCTTCATCAGATTTGATATCACATTTCACTGAGTCACTGGAATTTAAACAAAGTGAAAATGTAAAATATAATTAAGGTCAAAATCCAAAATATACACAATTCCAAAAGTGTAAACTGGTTAACTGAGAAGTGGCATATATCAGTGTTAATATACAGTATATGCAGGTATATTATTTTAATTCAATTTTAACTGATAAATTTTATATTGATATTTATTTGTATACTGTCCCTTTTCATGTCCTGTAGTTTATTCACTTATACAAACACTCTATTAAGATAACAAAAAAAGATTTGGTGTGATATATCTCGTTTCTTTATGTTTTTCTTATTGTTTTAAGTCCTTGCTCCTCTTTGTGTTTTGTGTTTGTGTCTTTGTGTTTCTTATCTATGCCAAGTGATTAAGAAATTACTGTTAATTTATGTACTTTTCAGTATTTTTATATACATTTTTATATACAGTAAATCCCTTGGTGCAATACGCCCTCCTGGACTCGGCAGGAGTCTGACTGATGGACATTGTATAGAAAACTATAGCATTACTATAACTATAATATTACTCTGTGAACACGTGGGTACTTTCTTTTTAGCAGTGAACTCAATTGAGTGGTATTTTACGGAAGCATGTGTTTTGCATTGTCAAATTATATTTTGCTCGAATTTTGTATCACATGGACATTGTCAATTTGGTCTCCTAATTTTTTCTAAGTAGCTTTACTTACCCACTCTAGATTTCCCCCATGGGTTGCTTTGCTTTAGTTTAGGTTCTTTCTGTGTGAGGTAATTTGTCAGGCTGTTCGCTTGCACTGTTAATATATTTTCCTACAAAAAGTAATGCACCCAAATTCGTACATGTCCCACGTAATCATGATCCAGTAATTTATGTGTAACCCACTTACATGGGAAGGCTGCGATCACATGATTAATGCGCTGACGGGAGAGAAGAACAAAGTGGTCTTTGAACTTGCAGTCATTTTAACGTATGTTATCACTGTTTCTTTTCCGAAACCTTAACAAAGTAACTTTGTTTGCCTTATCCTCAACTATGTAACTTTTACGTAGCTATACGTCATAACATTATTCACGGGGCGCTAATTCCTAAGAACCATTGTGTCCTTTTTTTGTAAGACCGTTGTATGAGAATATGTTTCATTGATAGCTTGCAAAGCTATGCCTTCGAGGTTGCTTCCCCAACACTATATCCCTATCCCCATTTAATTATTAGCATTATAACCAGCTAATGTAACATTAACCTGTTTCATAACTAATTAAGAAACTAAACAGCCACAATAGTGGAAGCCAGATCCAAATAGTCCTTTATGTGATAGCAAAATTGATCTGCTGTGGTCATTCCTATGTTCTCAGCTTCCTGTGATCCCGAGGTTTAGCTTTTTTTTTTTTTTTTTTAAATAATAATAATTAATTGGGGAAAAAAAACAACTTTCGCTTGAGGAATTAAAGAAAAAAAAAAAGACCAAATGAGTTATAGTAAAGAGGTTTACGGCCTGATTTAATAACCATTTTTGAACTGGTTAAGGAAAGAGGTCAAAGGTCAGGTTAAGATTAAATTTAAATTAAAATTAAATTAACAACTGAGGATTTCAATTTTCAAACAGGTTAAGATCAGGAAAAAAAGACTTACGCATCAATTTCATCTTACATTTTACTGTATTTATGGCTTTTTGTGTGAAATGTCCATCCTGTTTATATGCAGAGTAAACGTGTGTGAACAAATATTGATCTGGGACACATAGAACCCTGGGAACATGGATACAATCCCGATCTGCCCACAGGCGGAGTAGTGTTGTTGGTGTTGGCAGTTCCTGGCAGCTTTGTTACATTAGATGTGGTTCTATTAGTAGACTAATGAGATATACTGTAAGGGGGGAAAAGGTTTGGTCTTAACATTTGCCCATCCCTCTTCCAGTACAAAGCAGTGATAAAACGGCAACAAACCTTTCCAGACAACAAAGAGAGAGCATGGATTTGTAACTGTGCAGACCTCTCACAGTCATGATGCTTGCCGGTTTCTTCTTCCTGCTCCTCACAGGTAAGCTGGAATATTTCTGTACGATGCATGCAGGTGAGAAAAGCTCTGCAGTTTGGCATCTTTTATTTTTTAATTATTATGTCCTGATCATTCCTGCTGCATGTTCATTTAATTAAACAACATTGTTAAATTTGTAAGAGTTTCACAATACATTTTCATTGTAAGAACCAGGAAGGGTTGGCTGATCCAAGTATTGTGTTGACGATGACATTAATTTGAATACGTCAGTTTACATTGTGTCTGTGTCAGTACAATGGAGGTGAATTGCCTGTTGTTTGTGATACTCACAGTGTGAAAAATCAAACAAAAAAGTATTAATAATGGTAACAATATTTCTTTCCAAAAACTGTTCACTGTGAGGTCTATGGTTAATTCAGAGTAATGGTAATCTGTTCCTGGAAAGAACTGTTAAAGTTCTTTTTTTTCTTATTACCATCTTACAGTGCTTCACCTCCATTGTTTTAGGCTCGAGGCAAAAATCTCAAAACCAGTTAAACCTACCAAATCTGTGTGAGAAAATATTATTTTGACTAAATTTGAGTAATTGACCCTATTTTCCTTTCACACATATTTTAGGTTGTATCAAAATAAGATTCAAAACTGGGGTCTCAGAGAGCTTTTGTATGGAATAGTTGTGCAGGCAATAATCTTTTTAATGCTGTTACCTTGAGATCACAAGATACTGTAAAACCTCCATTAAAAGCAAATGCCCAAGTTAAATACCAAGCTCAGTTTACAATCTGGGTGTAACAACAGGTTTTGACAAATAAATGCAGATGTCAATTAGATGCTGGGTCCGGTTGCCATTGATGCTTCAAAGCAGTTCATTTTTGTAGAAATCCTTAGGACATAGAAAATATCAATCAATCCAGCCTTTCTGAAGGTGCAACTTGGCCTCAAGGCTGCTGCATGTCGGGGAGACCTTGGTCCACAGATTAGGAGCACACAGGAAATGAGAGAGGGAGCAGTTTGCAACCTGCAGCTTAAATACCCCAATTGGTCATTGCCCCACAGCCACTGGCTCACAGCAAGTGAAGTCCCTCTACCCACACACACAGCATCACTGCACACACAAACCACATCCAATCAGCGCCACTAGACTAAAGGTCAAGTAGATTGAAGGTGTAGATACAGTCTACCCTGTTAGTAAATCAAAGTGAAAAGAACACAGTGCAGCTACCGTCACGTAGAATTATAGACGGTCAACCTCTCCAGCTGCTTTTAGCCTGATGGTTGAAAAAATTGAGAACGTAGAAGAAAGACAGAAGTAGAGAAAGAAAAAATGTAAAGCTGAAAATAAAACACATTCAAAGGAGAAAAGTCTTGGAGGAAAGTGCAGCTAAAAGTAGCAATAATACAGATATGTTCACGAGTGAGGAACAGTTTTTGTGTTAAAGATATATCATCCGTGCATGGCTGCACTTTGCACATTATATCATAGCTACCCCTCTGAGTTGATTTTATGTTTTTAAAACAGAATAATTGTCGTCAACACCTTTTCATGTTGTGTAGGAAAGCAGGAGATGTTTGTGCAATGAAATTATATTGAATCTAAATAGTTATCTACTCTCTGCTGTCAGGTGGGGGCACCTCCAGTTACTCAGAGCAACCAGAGCTTCTTGATGATCTACAGAAGTCTAATCAGAGCTTTGAGGAAGGTATGTACAAGAAACAAACATGCCTAAAGTGCACAGTAACTATATGCATGAATGTTTATTCCTTGTAACCTTAACTAGGGAATCTAAAAGCCAATTAATGCCATGGATGTATAAAGAGAACTGGATACAGTGTCAGAGGTGGGGCCCCATTCATTCCTATAAATGTTACTCAGTGGCCCATGAAGCCTAAAAAAATCAGACTTTTCAGGTACAGTGTGGGGCCCATAGAGCAAGCGCACTAGAGATTTCTGCCAGCCGAGCAGCTAACTTCAGGTTGAGACCTGCACTAACTTGAATTGGGATCAAAAGATTTAATCGGGTGGCTCTTCTAGACTTTCAAAATTATTTCAGAAAGAATGGACTAAATTTCAATAGTAAAACAGGTCATTTCAGGGGGTTGTGACACTTCAAAAAATATATCCATTTATTTTCAGAATTCTATTTCACAATGTTAGTCTATAGGGATAAAAAAAAGTGTTTTTGGGCCCCGTGGCTACAAGTGACGGAACCTAAAAGTTGTAAGTCCACAGTTTGGCAAATTGACTTCGAAGCCCAGCACTGTTCCTAGGGGCTTGGTTAAAATCCACCAGAGCTAAGTGAGAAATATGTATTCACTAAATTTGGTTTACTGACCTTGTTTATATTTTTCAGAGGACAAAAATGGATGTCATCAGATGAGATTAATACGATTTCAAAATTGGGTTCTTAGCTTTTGCTAACAATGTTTTACAACAATTAAAACTGCTGCAACTCATTAATGTAAGACCTGTACACTGCTTTCTGTCAGGTGCAAGTACCTTCAATTACTCAGGACAACCAGCACTTCAACAGAACTTCAGTCAGAGCTCTGAGGAAGGTATGTACAGGAAACAAATACTCCAAATGTGCACAGTAAATATTTGTATTTATAAAAGAGGTGTTGGTTTACTAAATACCGAGAGTGTCACCTCAGTGATGATGAATGAATGAACCCTTTGATGCTGGTTCTATGGATATACAATCTCCACAGGTTGTCAGGAAAGATGGTGATTGGTCAACGAATCAAGTTCACAAACACACTCACTGACATGCCACTCATTTATTACCAATTGTTCAGAATATCCCTGTGTGAATTTTGTTGATTCTAGTGGACACATGGGATAGTAAACCAGGTGAATAAACAAATCTAAATATGGTCCAGAAAACTGCAGCAGTGAGTGAAGTCTTCTTCAGTTCAGGACAGGTGTACTGATACTGTGTTGAGTTCATGGAAAGATGCTGTACACAGACTTATGATTAGTGCAGCAGGTTCGATGGCATTTTGGTTTGCTGATTGTTCACATGAATTCCATATGCATTCTGTATGCAAAAGCTACACATTGTACGACTGTGCGTGTGGGTGGACTAAACAGAGGGATTTCTGTACTGGAAACTGTTGAAGAATGGAAGACCCTCTGATCTCGAGCAAAGTTGGGCTAGTTGAGCCAAGGGTGTCTTGTGGGTATGCTGGGATTCCTGTAGCCACTTGCAACGGGTCTGGATGGATGACAGATAGCTCCTGATGAAGTGGATCCAGAATTAATCTGCCAAGGCTTGGCACTACCTTCGTCTGCAACGGACAAGGAGCTCTGTATCTGGGTAGATGATCTGTGGTGTTGATGGATCAGGCTGCCCAATCAGCCGCATATTGGGAGAGTTTGGATCTGAGTCTGCGACATCTGATGAGGTGTAACCCAGGGGCTTGGAGCTGATGATGCTCTCCCTTTCATTAAGTACTGTCCTCAAGACCTCTTCCATTTCAGTCTGAGATCCAAGGGTGGTGTGTAGAGCAGTTTTAATGGAGCAAATCTCATACTGCCAAGAACTGCCAAAGTGTGGTGCATGTGGGGGATTGAACTGGAAGTGAATTTGCTGACAAGCGAGTTGTGACTTTTTTTTTTTTTATTGGTGAGCAGCTACTTAGGGGTGGAGGACTGGTGCAGAAGGAATTTGGCAGGACCTTGAAGCATCCAACCAAGCTGCATTTTGAGTGGTGCTTTTCCACCTGGAGGCCCTTAGTGCACTTGCTCAACTGGAGTGATGAGATGAGTATAGTCTAAGCCAATGAGCAGTGGCAGTTGTGCCTGACTGAATTATTGGAGGGGCAGACCTCTGAGGTGATGATAAATCTTCCGCAGTGCATCAACAGAATTGGAATTTTTGGAGAGGCCAAGTTCTATTGCTCTGAATGCTAAGTTGATCTAGAACTGTTTCTGGGGGTGAATGGTGAAGGGCCCGGAAAAGGAGACTGACCCTCCTGCCATAGTCCTGATATCTTGACAGATGGTTCCAACTGCCAGGTCCTCACACCGCCCCTGAAGTTCCAGCTCTTGGGCAGCGCTCTCAAGAATGTATGCTCAAAAATGACGTCCATGATGGCATTTAACTCAATCCTCCTTTTGTCATTGTAGAGAGGCAGACCTTAACCATCTGCAGCAGCATGCAGCAGCTTCTTCAAGAGGGCTGAATGGTTTCTGGGGATGACATCTCTGGACTGACAGATGTGAATGAGTTGACATCATGTAGTCTTTCGATGTGAGTCTGGTTGCACTGCTGCAATTTGACCTTAAGGTAGCACTGTACTGCTTGATGATCAGTTCCTCATCTCCAGTATGGCTTATCTGTTGTGATCCTACTACTCCCCTACTACTCCTGCTTTCTGCTCCTGATTGAAGTAATGCTGAACGTTGTCCCACAATACTTAATCAGCCTCTGTGGATTGTAAACCTGGAACTGTACATGTGTAGAAGGCTCTGGTACCTTTGCGGGGGGGTCATACCCAAGCAGTATGGTGGTGGAGGATGCTGCAGAATTCTGCTTGACCTTGACAACTCTCTAACAGTCTGGCTGCCCCTCTTGTGATAACTAGGAACGATGGGTCTGTATGTCATCATCTTGAAATATGGACTCATCTTGAAATATGGACTTAGTACTCCAACCACTCAAGCAGAGTTGGGATGGGTGTGCAAACAGGATTGATGAGGTGCTTGAATTGTACTCTCGGGTCATATGACAGCTTTGAGAAAAGCATGAGATTCACGATGCACGCTCCAGTTCAGTTCTCCCTTCCTTCCCCAACTGGTTTAGCCTTCCAAACTAGTGCCTGTCAGTGCAAACACGTAGAATCCTCTGCTGCACAGCTCATGACTGCAGGCTCAGCCAGGACCTCAGCGATGCGTTGCAGGGCCAATTTGCAAGGCTCACTGTACATCTCTATCAGAAAGACCAAGGTGTAAAAAGGGGAAAAGCAGTGGCAGTGGAGGATGGAATTGTTCAACAACTTGATGTGCATACAAAAGGGGAGGTGGCTCTGGCTATGACATTTCTCAGAGATCATCCATCCTCTGGTTGACTGAAGGGCTGTCTGGTAGGTTGCAGCAGAGGGGATACAAGGTCTGGAAGTGGGGCCTTTGTAAAGGAGGTGCCGCTGTACTCAAACTTGATGAGATGACTTTGAATGGGAGTGCTGAAGAATGAGGCAGGAGGCTGAGCAGCTGAGGTTTGCGGCTTAGGAGAGATTACATTTCTTGCCTGAGGTAGTTGTAGTAGTCCCTCATTTCTCTGAGTGCTGACAAGACCACTATTGGGATGAGGTTCTGGGGTGTCTGTCCATCAGGAGTACCTATAGGTGCATTGTGGTACTTGCTATCTCCTGCAACAGAGTGGTCCTGGAGTATGTGTGACTCAGGAAGTTGTCAACATAGTGAGGTCAATGAACACCACAGTGAGGTTGGATGTTACCAACAGGGTCACTGCAAATCCAGCTTGAAGGATCATATGAAAGACTTGTTTGTTTACAGAATACCAAATGTATGACCTCAGCGTTGATGAATGAAAACCTTTCTCATAGAGAATGTGTCTTGATGTTTTTGCTGTAGATGATGAGTCCTCCAAGAGGAGCTGCAGTTATCGGGATCTTTTAAAACACTTGAACCTGACAAAAAATGAGTTGCACACCATGACCCTGCCTGTTAGAAACCATTTGTCCACCATGCACATACAACTGGCTGTACTTCTCTATGCCATTCTAGATGTGGTAAGTGGTTGCTTATAAATCTATTAACAATTATTTCTTCTGTCATGTACGTTTTATTGGCTCCAATTTTTATGTTTGTCTGTGAGGTAACAGGATATCACAAAGTCACATTCTATCTACTGGATATTTGGGCCATAGGCAGAGGAGCTAGTGTTAAATTTTCTGTGTTTACAGCACCAGCATGTGGCCATTGATGAAACACTATAATTTTGCCTCATTTTAACTTACTAGTGCGATGCAAAAATGCTTTGTAGGAATACAGAAAATCCACATGCAAATTTTCAGCATGACAACTGTGCCAAGTTGGTATCATCCCCACTCGTCATATTTTGACACTGAATCCCCAGAAGTTGCCTTTTGTATTGTATCTTGACACAGAGGGTCAGTGGTTAGGTAAGGTTTAGGCAACAACACTATTTGGTCAGGTTTAGGAAAACATTGTGGTTAGTCATGATAGTCGACTCACATGACTGTAATAACGTGATTCATGTCAGTTATGTTTCACATCAGTAATTTGTTATATTCGTTTCTCATTTTAATTGTGAATTATTGCAAATGTTAAGATGCATAACTCATATTAAGGTGGTGGTAATGTATATTAGATTCATGGAAATGTTTGTACATTTATATTAAGATTTATTCTTTCACTGTGTATACTTTTTCAGTACGTTTTAAGGGTTGGTTTGTACCTGAAAAGTGTGATAATAAGTTAAATGTACTTTAAAGAGTTAATAACCCGGAGGAGTTGACTTCCTATTGACCTTTTTGCAAGGTTAACGTAACAAAGATGTACTGGCGGGGACGAGCGGACAGACATGCTGCATGCTGTGGAGCCAAGCGGTCGTCAGACCGTAATTTAAGTTATATAACATGTTTTTTCTACTTTTATGTTGAACTAAAGACTGTTGTGGACCAATGCGCTCCTCCATGTGTGAGCCAGAGACTGTGTACTACCGGCATGTGTAAGAAGTGTGGTTTTGCAACTACAAGGCAAGCTAATTAGCCTAGCTCGCCTGCCAAGCTAATTAGCCTAGCTCGTCTGCCGTCATCAGAGGGGGAGACGCTTATAGATATAGGGTCCGTCCCAAGTCTCTTAAATTACTGCTAGTGCTACTGCTAGCCGACTTTGACAGCCCCTCCCACCTAGGAAAAATGTGAGGAGCTAGCGCTAGGAGCGATGAGCAAGCATTGTCGGTTTAAGAGACATGAGACGGCCTTACTCTGAAGCGTCACGTGAAGCGACGTCCATTCCTGATGACGGCGGCACAACTGGATCTGCTGCATAACAGAGCCAGCGTTTGGCGTACATCCCAAGTCACATTATATTCGCTGATCAAAGCCGTACCCTCCCCCCAATGACAAGTTTTGCATGTATTACCATTGTTATTGAGACATTTGCCAAAGTTTGTGGCAATTAAAGAACGGTCTGTAGCCCTGCCACTGTCACTGTGATGAGCATCATTTTCATTATTATTATCATCATCATTATTATCACTATTATTAAATCCACTCGCCATCATTCAACAAGTCAGCTGCTGAGTGAATAAGACATACCAGACCTGTCAGTCTGCCTCAATCAATCAATTTTATTTATAAAGCCCAATATCACAAATCACAATTTGCCTCACAGGGCTTTACAGCATACGACATCCCTCTGTCCTTAGGACCCTCGCAGCGGATAAGGAAAAACTCCGCAAAAAAAACCTTTAACGGGGAAAAAACGGTAGAAACCTCAGGAAGAGCAACTGAGGAGGGATCCCTCTTCCAGGACGGACAGATGTGCAATAGATGTCGTACAGAACAGATCAACATAATAAATTAACAGTAATCCGTATGACACAATGAGACAGAGAGAGAGAGAGAGAGAGAGATGCCGGACAGACGGTAATGACAGTAGCTTACAACAACATGAAAGTAATATTAATTAATATTAATATTAATAGGCTAATTAATATTACCAACAAGCTATTGAACATTCCACTCACATGACATGCAGGACAATTAATGATGGGCAAATGTGTTTATGTGTGTGTGTGTGTGTGTGTGTGTGTGTGTG